TTCATGATGTCATCGCTTGATTCTGTTTTTGCTTTACTATTTCTACTGCTTGTGAAACCACCTTAACTGATCTTCCTGCCTTAAGTCTCTCTCTGTTTTAGTTGATCCTGTATACCGCTGTAGTTTAAAATACTTCTTTCATCCACGGGCATAGATTTGAATATAATACTTTTTAATAACTTCTGTGTTGTGTTCTACATACTAGAAACTGCACCATTTATGACTATTATCCCCATTTTAAGATAAGTAATTTGAAGCTCAGGAGAGGTTAAACATTTTCAAGGTCACACAACTAGTAAGTGGCAGAGCAAGTAATCATAGAGGTTGGTTAGATCCTAAAGTTTATGCTCTGAACACATACAGAGATCATGCAATTTGTGACCTAGGTGGAATATATTTCATAGCGAAAAGGATTGTTACTAATAATTTTCTGGGACAGTAGATCTAAAAGTGGAGGATCCCAAACAAACCAGAACTAGTAATACCATATTAATACTACCCTCTACTTCCTCTCCAGTAAAACTGGGAAGGTTAGACAGATGTCTATTTTGGGGACAAAGATGATATGTTAATCTTTGTACTTGTTGAGTTCAGGGTGACAACAGAGCATGACACTGGAACATTTTACTAGAGAGGCCATATACACAGGACAGGGAATTAACAGAAAGGTAAGAGCAAATTTAGGTATTAACAATGTAGAGAATGTTTTCAAAGTCATGAGATGAGATGCCCAAACATTTAAGAAAGAAGAGGCACAGATGATTGAGAACTGGTCACTGGGAATTTTCAAACATTGAGTGGGTAAGGAGGATAAAGAGACAGAATGGGAGATGACTCTATTAGACTGCAAATCTCTTTAGGAAGTCAAAAATTTCTTTTGCATCCTTTATTAGCATTTTCATATGCCACACACACATACTGAAAACCAATATACCATTAAGTATAATTGCAAGCCATATGACTTCTGGTAGATAAGACTAATTTTGTGCCCATCCTTAGATCCTAACTGAAATTATTTCATATGCAAACATTTCAGCTGCCATCTTTTCTCTCTGGACAGGTTTTCATATGGTTTTTGTTGAAACCATGGCTTATTCCTATATGTCTTTTGTGTGGAGTGAAGGATACCGCCTTTACCACCACCCTTGTGCTGTTGTACGGTCTATGAGACACTTGAAGGTTAATGCATGTGCCATATATACAAAGCGCATTGTACATATGCTTACCACATAAGTATGTTATAATCCATGTCTCATACATATTTTAATAATGTTAATGTTAGCAATAAATAGAATGAAGAATCCATTATAGAGAGATTCAAGTTTTGGAAAAATGGACAGTTCTGCATCAAAAGTAAATTAAGCAAGAATATTTATTTCTATGCTTCTCTGTGCTTATATTGGAGCAAATCAACAGTGAAAATGATTTAAAGAAACCTTGGTTCATTTGAAATAAAACGCTGATGCATTTGAAATGAAGTTCCCATGGAAACCATCTCTGAAGTGACAAAAACCTCAGAAGAACTTTCCTGATGTGGCATCAGGAATGCAAGAACCCTTTAAATCTTCTAGAGGAAAGTAAATGTTAAATGAACCCCTAAGGTCCTCTTTGCCCTTTGGGTCTCAAGACCCTATATCTTAAGCCAAATTACTGGCTCTAAGGAAGAAAATTATGAAAATAGTAAGAAGATAAAGGGGCAAGAGACCTGTTGAGGATTCAGATAATCACAAGTCACACAATGTTGGTTAATGACTGAGGCTGGTATGAAGGCTAAGAAAGGTTTGTGTAGCAACTTGCATTATTTTAATCTTTATTTTTATTATTTTTAAAATTTTTTGATAATGAATTGTTTTTCTCTATTTCTTAAGTGTGTATAATGGGATTGAGAACAAGGATTGGGGTTCATTGGAGCTACTCTGGGACGTGGACAGTTCCAAGTGTACATTGACCAATGAGACACTATCATTGCTAGACTGAGCTGAGGGTGAGCAAGTCTTCACTGATACAGTGCACATCTGGCCTGTGTGCAATGGACTTGCCTGGAAGAAGACTTCTCCCTTTGTGTTATGATTTCATAACTTCTCCAAGAGGACTGCAGCCTTTAACTCTGGCTAAAAGCATGTATAATCCGTCTGCTAACTGAAGCTTGAATTTCCTCAAATAGAGACTTATTTCTTGGCCATGGAATCTGTCATCTTTAATATATAAAAGTCCATAGTAAGGGCTATAAAATGCAAGTTGCTACACAAAGCTTTTTTAGCTTTCATACCAGTCTCAGTCATTAACCAACATTGTGTGACTTATGATTATCTGAATCCTCAACAAGGTCTCTTGCCCCTTTATCTTCTTACTATTTTCATAACTTTCTTCCTTAGAGCCAGTAATTTGGCTTAAGATATTGCATTTAAAGTGAAGGATGAAAATGTGATGCCTTGGAGGGCTGCTGGTTAAGCCACGAGTGCCTAATGTTTTAGAAGAGTAACCGATCTTATCAAGCAAACACTTTTCAAATCTCTTCTGAGTCATTGCTGAAATGTCAGATTACTCTATTTAAAATTAAATCTGTGCCCCTTCCTTTTCTACCCCTCTCCCTGGCTTTTTTTTTAATAGCATTTTTCATTTTACATGTTTTTTTTCTTTCATTTTTTTGTCTTCTCCCACTTGAATGAAAACTTCATGAGGGCAAGAATTTGCCTGTTTTTTTTTTTCCCCAACTAAGAACTTAGAAGAGTTTCTGGGACACAGTGGATGCTAAATATGTATTCGCTGAAGGAATATTATTTATTTTTGTTTACTTCTTTCTTCAAGTCCCCATCATCTGACATATTAGCTGTGGGATTCCTTCCCTGGCCTTCACATCTTGACAAAAATTGATATTAGTTATCTAATTAGTATTTGTTTTTAATTATCAAGCTTAATTTGCATGAACAGGTAGTGCAGGAAAACCAGGGAAGATTTCTTTATTTTTTGAGCTTGGAAAAGTTCATGTTGGATGTGAGTGGAATAATGACTTTTCTCCTCTGAAGTCCAGTACTCCCTAATTTGACCTTTCCTGGCTCTAATACGTTCTACCCTTGTCTTATTCCACATACGCTGCTGTGAAAGAATACCTGAGACTGGGTAATTTATTAAGAAAAGACTTTTACTTGGCTCCCTATTCTGCAGGTTGTTCAAAAACACATGGTGCCAGCATCTACTTCTGGTGAGGACCTCAGGGAGTTTCCACCCATGGCGAGAAGCCAGGGGAACTGGCATGTAGAGATCACATGGCAATAAAGGGGAAGCGAGAGGAAAGAGAGGTGCCAGGCTCTCTTGAGAACTAATAGAGTCAGGATTCATTCATTACCACTAGGATGGCACTGCCCCTGTATCTCAAACACCTCCTCTTAGACTCCACCTCCATCACTGGGGATCAAATTTCAACATGAGGTTTGAAGGTCAAGTATCCAAACTTTAGCAGCCATCCTTTAAGACTGCTTGTTTTTATCTATTAAGAATCTCATGAAACCCTTGTAAGTAAAAATACTTCAGAGAATTCATTATCACAGGGAGGTAGTACAGCCAGTGGAAAAGACCATGAAAATTGGAGTTAGACAGATCAGCGTTTGACTTAAGATTCTGGAATCTGTTAGCTGTGTGTGTTTCTCACTTTTAAAGCGGAGATTAACATGTCTAATTCATGAGGTTGTTATGAGAAATAAATGAGGTAAAATCATTCGTACATTGGTGTTGGATTCTTGGTGTCTGTATGAAGGTGCTGGGTTGGATACAGTGTTTGGTATACAGTAAGTGCTTAATACAAGGTAGCAAGCATTGGTTTTTCCCATAGTGCCTTGTCCTTAATTGTGCTTAAAAAGATGTAACCTGAATGAAAGAATAGGTCATTAAAAGTAGGATCAAGAGTGTAAACAAACATTTTATTTTCCTTAGGGAAGGTGGTCTCTGGCGATGGCTCTGAGGGAGCCTCTGTTAACTACTCTGAGGTCTCTACTCCAGAATAAAACTCTCCAGATGCCTATTATCCACGGTGTTAGGAAAGACTGCTGTCTCTTTCCTGGTAGCTGGGCAGAAGCCTTGGGACAAAGTCACAATCAGAGATCGTTTTCTTCAGTTCTGCAAGAGAACCAAGATTCTCCAAGAGAATAAAGATTCTCAAAGTGGAGAAGCAGAAGCAGATGGGCCTGGGCTCCAAGTTGTCACGTTCTTTTCCGCAGGGCCACTGGATTTCTGTGAAAGAGATGGGCGACAGGCGGTAGAGAGCAGCACCGTGGCTCCAAGCTGAAGGGGGTGAGTGCCTGTCTGAGCCACTGGGTGCCACAACAGAGTGGTTAAAAGAAAGCTCAGACCACTCTCAGCTGTCAGAGCCCTGGCTTGTCACTTGAAGGCTCAGTGTCAACTGTTAGAAGGTAAGAGGAGTAATTTCGATGTTCCTGTGAAGCTCACACTAACTCATATTATTGTTGCTACCTTCAATCTGCATTTATTTACTGATGAGTCATGTTGATAATATTTTATGTGCCCATTGGTGTTTTTTTTTCTATAGCACTGTGGATGTTTTCCTCTGTAATTGAGTATCATTTAATTACAAGTTTTAAATTGTTAATTTGTGTTAAAAAAAAAAAAAACTAAACTAAAAACCAAGTAAGCATTGAGAATATACAGTGGAAAATAAGACCTTTATCCCTGCCCCGCTCCCCATCTCCCGCTAAAAAAAACTCAGACCGGGAAGCCAGACCACAGAGCTCTCCGGCTGCTGCAACTCTGTAGCCCTGGGACTTTGTGCAGGTAGCCCAGGCTGGGTGTCCTCATCTGTGGAACGGGGATGAGTGTAATGCTATACAGCATTTAGAACAGCACCTATTCCATAGTTAGTGCTCAGTAAATGTTTCTTTTCTTCTCCCTCCCACTCCCTTAATTTCCATTAACTTCCCAGTGTGTGTAGCCTTTCTCTCTTTCTGAGTGACTCCTTCTTTTTCTCTCACAGACAGTCCTAGAGGAGAATGGCTGCCAAGAACTCCTCCTCCGTGACAGAGTTTATCCTCTCAGGCTTAACCGACCAGCCGGGACTCCAGATCCCCCTCTTCCTCCTGTTTCTAGGTTTCTACGTGGTCACGGTGGTGGGGAACCTGGGTTTGATAACCCTGACAGGGCTCAACTCTCACCTGCATATTCCCATGTACTTTTTCCTCTTCAACTTGTCCTTCATAGATTTTAGTCATTCCACTACCCTCACCCCTAAAATGCGGATGAGTTTTGTCTCAAAGAAGAACATCATTTCCTATGCAGGGTGTATGACTCAGTATTTTTTCTTCTGTTTCTTTGTCTTTTCTAAATCCTATATTCTATCAGCGATGGCGTATGACTGCCACGTGGCCATCTGTAACCTACTGTTGTACACGGTCACCATGTCTCCCCAGATGTGTTTGCTCCTTTTGCTGGGTGTCTATGGGATGGGGGTTTTTGGGGCTGTGACTCATATGGGAAACATAACGTTTATGTCCTTTTGTGGAGACAACCTTGTCAATCACTACATGTGTGACCTCCTTCCTCTCCTTGAGCTCTCTTGCAACAGCACTTACATAAATTTGCTGGTGGTTTTTATTATTGTGACCATTGGCATTGGGGTGCCAATTGTCACCATTTTTATCTCTTATGGTTTTATTCTTTCCAGCATTCTCCACATTAGCTCCACAGAGGGCAGGTCTAAAGCCTTCAGTACCTGCAGTTCCCACATAATTGTGGTATCGCTGTTCTTTGGGTCAGGTGCTTTCATGTACCTCAAACCACCTTCTAGTCTACCCCTGGACCAGGGGAACGTGTCCTCCATTTTTTATACTGCTGTAATGCCCATGTAGATTAACCCATTAATCTACAGTCTGAGGAATAAAGATGTCAAAGTTGCCCTGAGGAGAATCTTTTGCGGAAAATTAGTCTCTTAAAAGTGAATGAGAAAGGGAATCCAAACCTTTGTTATTCAGGGGGTTTCTTTTCTTGTTTCAGGGAGGGAACAAATGCCAGTTCTTTCTCTCCCATACTTAGAGAAAAATTTTAACTTTTATTCTTAAGTGTACTTACTCCCTGCACTGCTTATCCACCCCAACTATTCCAACTGTTATTTTATGAGAATAGTTTCTACTGTTATACAGGGTTTAATCTTGAATAGGCTTATGAAATCATTTACTCCAGTCTCCTCATGTAATACATCACACTCATAAATATGCTGTAGGCTGCCAAAGGACACACATGTACCTGGTGCCAGAGCTGAAACTGGAGTCCGGGCTCTTGAATTTTAATACAATCTGCTGTGCTTTTCTTCAGCTACATTTCCTTGTTCCATCGTTTCCCTGACAGATTTCATTTTAAATTGTTTTTTCTTTTTTTTTGCATTTAAAGAAATCTAATTATATTCATAGCAATGTCATGCAACTTTTCAAGGGTTAAGTTTTGGAATAACATTTTTGCAAGAGTGTTGGAAGTGAAAAATGTGGTTGATGTGGTCTTGACAAAAAGATAAGTGAAATTTTTAAAGAATTTTGGGGTGTGTGAGTGAGAAGTAGGTTAGGTTTCTTATAGAATCAAGGATGGTGCCCACAGAGATGGTATAGAACCTTGAGTCAAGACTTAACAATAGAAGGCCTTCTAAGGGAGCGATAAAGAGATTTGAGGGAGTTAAGTTTGTTAGATACAAGCTTCATTCTTTATCTGAAGATTAATGGAGGCAGAATTTGGAGCCCCACCTCAAGGGTCTGAATAATGTAAATTAGTAATAGACAGCTCTGGATAAGTGAGCCATTAGCACCACAGCAACCAACTAGTTGTTAGGGGAGGCAATTGCCATTATATATTTAATAAGGCATAAAGGGAAGGGATGGTGGTCTTAGAAGAGGTCATATATTCACAGCATTGGGTAAGTGGAAGTACAACTTTGTATAAAGAATGAGAAGAATAATTTTTTTGATCTGAATACATTAGTAATGGTAACAATTCTTTCAGAAGTCATGGCATGTGAACTGTCTGGAAGATAGTTTAATTTACAAACTTTGGAAAGTTATCTTCTATTAGAAAAAGGGAAAGTTTGGATTAATGTTTAGCTTTTTTCATTTAGAATCTTTTAGTTTAATTAGGATATGATTAAGGAAATGAAAGTGTAGGGTAGGATTGCATTTTGATGCTAAAGGAGAGGAATGATTATTAAATTCAAGATACATGCATTGACGGTGCAGTGGGAGTGGTGGAGAATCAGTACAGTGAAAACACCCTACTCCTTCTTAATTGAAACATAAATTTTACACTGAGGTGCATGAACATTAACTGCTCGATGAATTTTTTTTTCACATTTATAAGGCTATGATTACATACCCCCACCCAGACAAAAATATAGAAGATTTTTATCATTTTAGGGTACTCCTGCCCGCCCTTTCCCAGCAATTACTACTCCCCATGCTCTTCCTGGAAATATCCACATTCTTACTTTATCACCACAGTTTCATTTTTCTCATGCTTGAACTTCATATAAATGTTAAATAGTACATTTACTTTTTTGTGTTTCACTTAACACAGAGAGTCATGTGAGATTCATTCGTAACAATTTTCTTTGTTATTGCTGTTTATTTTAGTATTTCATTGTATGAATGTAGAGCAATTTACTTACCAATATCTTCTTTATGGACATTTGCCTTGCTTTCAATTTCTACATATTATTAATAAAGCTGTTATAAACATTTTTTTTTTTGAGATGTAATCTCGCACTGTTGTCCAAGCTGCAGTGCAATGGCACGATCTCGGCTCACTGCAACCTCCACCTCCCGGGTTCAAATGATTCTCCTGCCTCAGCCTCCTGAGTAGATGGGATTACAGGCACCCGCCACCACACCCAGCTAATTTTTGTATTTTTAGTAGAGACAGGGTTGCACCATGTTGCCCAGGCTGGTCTCGAACTTCTGACCTTGTGATCCTCCCACCTCGGCCTCCCAAAGTGCTGGGATTACAGGCATGAGCCACCATGCCCAGCCTATAAACATTCTTGAGCATGTATTTTGCTGGAAATATACACTTATTTTGTTTGGGTATATACGTAGATGTAGATTTTATGGGTCACAAGGTAGGCATATGTTTAGGCTTCTAAATGCTATCAAATTGTCTTCCAAAATATTTGGACTGATTTGCACTCCCATCAACAAATTTCAGAAAAGGATACTCTTCATCTTTATTTTCAGTATTTTTCATTTTAATTACTCCATTGGGTGTGTATTACAATATTGCTTTAGTCTTTTAAATAGTCCCTTGATAAACAGTGATTTTTTTTTTTTTAGATGGAGTCTTGCTCTATTGCCCAGGCTGGAGTGCAGTGGCGTGATCTTGGCTCATTGCAACCTCCAACTTCCAGATTCAAGCAATTCTCCTGCCTTAGCCTCCCGAGTAGCTGGGATAACAGGAGCCTGCCACCACGCCTGGCTAATTTTTGTATTTTTAGTAGAGACGGGGTTTCACTATGTTGGCCAGGCTGGCCTCGAACTCCTGACCTTTTCTTAAGAGGCAAAGTCTTGCTCTGTTGCCAGGCTGGAGTGCAGTGGTGTGATCATGGCTCACTGAAGCTTTGAACTCCTGGGCTCAAGCTATCTTCCTGTCTCAGCCTCCTGAGCAAGGAGAACTATAGGTACATGCCACCACACCTGACCACTTTTTCTACTTTTTGTAGAGATGAGGGCTCACTGGGTTATCCAGGCTGTTCTTAAATACCTGGGCTCAAGTGATCCTCTCATCCTGGCCTCCCAAAGTGTTGGGATTACAGGTGTGAGCCACCACACCCAGCCTTGTTGGGCACTTTTTATATGTTCATTAGCTATTTGGACATCACCATTTGTGAAATGCCTGTTCAAGTCATTTGGCCACTTAAAAATAGTGCTGTGGCTGGGTGCAGTGGCTCATGCCTGTAATCCCAGCACTCTGGGAGGCTGAGGTGGGCAGATCAAGAGGTCAGGAGATTGAGACCCTCCTGGCTAACACGGTGAAACCCCGTCTCTACTAAAAATACAAAAAAATTAGCCAGGCGTGGTGGCGGGCGCCGGTAGTCCCAGCTACTCGGGAGGCTGAGGCAGGAGAATGGCGTGAACCTGGGAGGCGGAGGTTGCAGTGAGACAAGATCGCACCACTGCACTCCAGCCTGGGCGACAGAGCGAGACTCCACCTGAAAAAAACAAAAAAACAAAAAAACTTGTTAGTCTTTTTTCTTATTGATTAGAGTTTTTTAAAAAGTATATTCTGGATATGAGTGCTTTTTCAGACACACACATTGCAGTTATCTTTACTCAGTCTCTGGCTTTCCCCATGACCACTCACTAATTATGTCCTTTGATAATGATATTTTAATTTTAATAAAGTTCATTTGTCCACTTTTACTGTTCATGCTTTGTTCTGTTTAATTTTTTCCTACTACATAGTCACAAAGTCATTCTCAGGTTTTCCTTTGAAAGCTTCATGATTTTTCCTTTAATATTTAGATTTTAGATCAATTTTAAATCAGTTATCATGTTATGGTATGCGGTAGTAAGTTTTACTGCTTTCATAAAGGTGTTAAGTTGCATCAGCATCATTTATTGACAGACCTTCTCTCCTCCCTGAATTGTATTGGCTATATTTGTATGTGTGTATTTGAAGATCAAGTGACAATAATTTAGTGGGACTAATTTGAGAGAAGTTGATTTGCAGCCAAAGTGCTGTATTCTCCCATTACAATGGTGAATAGTGATGAGAAAAACAGACATGCTTGCCTTGTTTCGAAGTGGAATTTCATACCTTTCTTACCTTTCACTTTATTTTAAATAACTTTTTAAAATTTAATTTTCAATTGTTTATTAGTAGTATGTAATAACACAGCTGTTTTTTGTAAATTGAATTTGTATCTAGCAACTTTGTGAATTGTTAACTAAACTTGACAAAAGAGAAAATAAAAATTTGTACTTTATTTTTTCTGCATATACTCATGTAATCTGCAAATAAAGACAGGTTTGATTCTTCCTTAATGGTCTTTATATCTTTTATTTAATGTTTTTCCTTGTCCTGTCTAAGACTTCCAACACAATAATGAATAGAGATGAGAATGGATATCCTTGTCTTGTTTCTGAACTTAGGATAAAGGCGTTAAGGCTTTTGCTGTTGAATAAGACGTTTGCTGTAGCATTTGTTTTCTTCTGCAGAAGGCAGTAATTAGATTATGGGTGTGTGGGCCGGCACAGTGGCTCATCCCTGTAATCCCAGAACTTTGGGAGGCAGAGGAGGGTGGATCACAAAGTCAGGAAATCGAGACTATCCTGGCTAACACTGTGAAACCCTGTCTCTACTAAAAATACAAAAAAATTAGCCAGGCGTGGTGGCGGGCACTTGTAGTCCCAGTTATTCAGGAGGCTGGGGCAGGAGAATGGTGTGAACCGGGAGGCAGAGCTTGCAGTGAGCAGAGATCGTGCCACTGCACTCCAGCCTGGGCGACAGAGCGAGACTCGTCTCAAAATAAAATAAAATAAAATAAATAAAAAAATAAAAAAGATTATGGGTGGGTGATTAACAGCTTCCATTTAAGAAGGAATATATTTTTCCTGAGAATACATGTCATGGTAAAAAATTAAACAGTACAAAAAATTATACAGTAGAAATAAGGTTTCCTTTCATGTCAGTTCTCCCATGCTTATGTTCTTCCTCCTGGATGCAACTATTCCCAGAAATAGAATAGGCTTATACAAGTATATCTCTGTACCTTCTATCTATCTACCTACATATTTATATATTTAGAGACCCTTTTTTGTTTTGAAATTTAGTAAAAGGGGATTTAGGGTTGTATCTTCCAATGGAAATGACTTAA